TATGGCCCATGTGTTCTTGTGCTGAGTCAGTGCATATGACTGTGTAGTGGAGAGGAGATGGAATTCTCCTAGAAGCCCAGTTTAGCTGATATACACCAGTGAGATAAGTTAAATACTCATGACTGGAGCACTTGCCCCACATTACATCAGTTTTGCCAATCTCAAATGAAGTGTCTTTCACCACCCCAGGCACCAGGTTGACACCTGCCAGGTAGTGGCTTAGTATAGGGCATGGATCTGGGTATAGTAGAGAAGGCTATGAGCTTCAAGATCTGGGTTCAGGACTTGGCTCTGACACTGATCTGTTGAGAGAGATTGAACCAATCGCCTAATCTCTCCAGCCTTAGTTTCATCTTCTGTCAAACGGATATGATTAAACACCTGCCTTCCTACCTCACTAGGTAAGTGTAAAGATTAGTGTGGGAAATGATATTCCAACCCCAGGTGAAAGGAAATCCCAGATAGGGATCTAGAGCAGGGTTTCTTAATTTTTTTCCTTGTGCAACCCTTTTTTTTTTTTTTTGGCCAGAGAAACTTTTACATGACCCCAGGGTATAAAATTGTTATACAAATCAAACATTTACTGATAATAAATTATAAAGAAGTTTATTTTAAAAGAATTCTTTCGGGAACCTGTAATTTTGCCATTTATTCAGGATGAAGGCCAATGTGTCTATTAATGCAATGAACGTGCTTTTTCTTTTTTTTTTGGTCTTTTTGAGACAGGGTCTCCCTATAGCCCCAGCTGTCCTGGAACTCACTATGTAGACTAGGCTGGCCTTGAATTCACAGAGATCCACCTGCCTCTGCCTCCCGAGTGCTGGGATTAAAGGCGTGCACCATTTATTCATAAAGAATTAAATCTCAGCTGAATATTTGATACTTCAAGATCTAGAGCATCTTCAACATTGCTCAGTCTTTTGATTTTATAATCATCAGTGCTGAGGACAGCACTTCACACTAATGCATAGTAGGCATGTGAAGCACAGAATGGCTGAAGTCTGTGTGGGGCAGACAAGTTGATAGAAATCCTATCCTAATCCGATCCCAAGTCAAAACTCATTTCATGATTTTTTTTAATGAAACCCAAGTCAGTAACTCAAATGGCCATTTTTAAAATCAAATATTCAAACACAGTACAATCCAAAAATATATTCATTTGGTACTTCACAGGCTGAGGAATGTTGCTAGGAAAATATTAATTCTTTTTTTCTATTATTAAGCCATTATGTTTCTAAGTAAGCAGGAAACTTGGTATGTATAGTAAAAGCACTGCAGTTCACAAAACACTAGTCAGAACTGCCTGAACCAAGGTGCTTCAGGTGACATTTATTGAGGCTGCATAGGTTTATCACATGTGCGGTACAAAATGTACATGTATGCGTGTTGTAAGACTGGAGAGATGGCTCAATAGTTATGCTTTTACAGAGGACCCAGGTTCAGTTCCCAGCACTCACATGGCAGCTAACAACCATTCTTAATTCTAGTTCCAGGCGATCCAATGCCCTCTTCTGGTCTCCATAGGCATTGCATGACATAGGTGTGCTTGCATACATGCAGGCAAAACACTCATACACATACCATAAAAAAAATAAAAATTTAAGTATGCATGTTTTGTGTTCAGAGCTGAGGCTGCAGTGAGGTTACACCAGGCAGGATAGGTGGATACTGCCAGAGGCTCCTCAGATTCATCAGGCATTTAATTTCTAATTGATTCTTGGTCACTGTTTGTTCAGAAACCTTTTACTGTTGTCCAATTTTTCGTGGACTCCCTCTCCTGCCCATTCAGTTAGTGAACTCATATGGGGACAAGACGTGCAGTTTTAAGAAGCCGTGGCGCAGTTTTAAGAAGCTGTGGTTTAGAGAACACCCCCAGGAGGGTGGCAGGGCCTGGGGTCAGAAAGAAGTCTTGGGACCAGCCCTGACTTCTGCAGAAGCTCATCACCCCATGCCGCGGGCCCTGCCTGCACCTCTCCGATCAGCTCGTGGGGTCTGGGTGTATTGTTCTTTCTCCCGCCTTTCTTAGCGCTAGCTCTGGCATGTCCATGTATGTTTTCTCACATTTTACTTTCACCTCATGCACCGTTCTGGCGTGAGTCTTTCTGTGATGTACTTCCCTCCCGTTCCTTTGCACTTTTGTAACTTTTACGTATGTAGCGATATGTTTTTGGCCTTTTTCCTCCCTTTGCCTCCATTTGGGTAGTTTTTGCTATGTTATCTTCAACTTCACCAATTTTCTGTGTGTCTGATCTGCCGTTAATGTCACCCAGTGAAACTTCATTTCAGCTGCTGTTCATTTTTTTATAACTTTCATTTCTCTCTGGTTTAAGCTCATGATCTCCTTTGATGTCTTGAAAATGTTGAAAGTAGATGTTTCTGCCGTCCTCCGTGTTCTGTCATCAGCGTCCCTTCTGCATCTGCTTCTGCTGACCAGTGCATCTCTTAGTTGTGGCCACACTTTCATGCTTGTCTGCGTATCCAGGAATTTCTTCACTGGAAAATGGTATTGTGAATATTACATTGCTGAATGCCTGGATTTTGTCATCCTCATTTAAAGCATTGACTTTAATCTGTTGGGTAGCTGAGTTAGTTACGGGCCAGCTAGGTTTCTTCCTAGGCTTGCTTCTTAGCAATGTCAGGACAGATCTGGGGAGCCTAAGGGCTCCCCATTCTGCTTTGTCAGAGGGCACATCTTGGGAGAGTGTTGGCAAGGCTCAGTCTCTAAACCCCCTAAAGCTCATTTCTTCTCTGGCAGCTATTCTTGGCCGACTGTGGAATCTTGTCTATTTAGCTGAAGACAACCCCCCCAGGGACCCTACTCAGATGCCAAGAACCCTTTCTCTGCCGTTTCCTTTCCATTCCAGCTGCCTTGATCTTCTAAGCTGAAGTAAATCTCTGCAACCCCGTGAGCCTCTATGGTCTGCCTGTCTCCTCCAGCTTGCACTGTGCTCTGGTCAGTGCCTCCAGGCACAAGCCACCTTGATTGCACAGCCTGTTGTCCAGTGCCTGAACACACTTGTTTCATTTTTTCCTTTACCTCTCTAGTTTCATGCAGAGGAAGCTAATATCTCCCTGTGGGATGCTCTGAGGTCACACACCTGTGGGTTGGATCAGCTATATGCTCCATCAAAAGGCTGTCGTATAAACAGACTTAGTGCTAAAATCAAACCCACAGAACGTCCCTTGAGTCATTCTGGGATAAAGACCCACAGCCAGTATTAGTTCTAACTTTGCAACAGGAATTATCATTCTCCATCCACAGGTGATTGGATAAGTAAAAAGCAGCCTGTCCATACAAAGGAATATTATTCAGTAACAAAAAGGAGCAAGATGCTGAAACATGCAACAACATGGACATGTCTTAAAAAGACCTGGTAAACGGAAGAACCAGTCATAAGCACATATATGTTATGATTGCATTTATGTGGGCTGTCCAAAATAGACAGATTTACAGGAAAACTGTAGATTAGTGGTTGTAAGATTGCAGGGGGAATACAGAGTGATTGCTAATGGGTACAGAGGTCCTTTGGGGAAGGAACAGAAATGTTCTACAATTCGATTGCAGTTATGATTGCCCAATCTTATGAGTTTACTAAAAAATCATTGAGTTGTATGCTTTAGGCAAATGGACTAGTGTGAAATAAATCTCAGTAAAAACTGTTTTTAAAAATGGTTGTCAGCAGTGTTCTCCAGGACAGAAGATGAAGGAATGGACAGGGGCTGTGGTGAGGTGGAAGGAGGGCTCGGCTTTTACATTGAACTCTGCACATGTTCTGTGACATTCATTCTTGGTCTGAAAATGTAACCATACAAGAATTCATTCAGTCTATTGAGGGACAATCAGTCTTAGATGTTGGTCTTAAAACGTATTTGTTCTTTTTCAGTTACTTCCGTCTTAAGACTATTCTTACAAAGTTTGGGCATGATTGGCTCATTCTTTCTTTGCTACCAGGATTCTTGTCGGCAGTGGCTACCTATTGAGTGGCCACCAGAGAGTGTCACACTCCCTCTGGTCTGTGATGTCCCCTCTGTAGACTCTGTGTCATTGTTGAGGTCCAACAGAAGAGGGTCACTCTGTGGTTAGTACAAACCAGTGGAGAATAGGGAACCACCTTCATCTGACAATGTATATCTTTCACATACGCATTCATCCAAATGGAGGAGGATGGTTGTTCATTTAAGCTAACCATCATCCTACTCTTATTAAAAGTACTGAGTGAAGGACTGGAGAGATGGTACAGAGGACCTAGGTTTGATTCCCAATACCCACATGGCTGCTAACAGTTGTCCATAACTCCAGTTCCAGGCTATCCAATGCCTTCTTCTGACCTCCGCGGGCATTGCATGACATGGGTGCACTTACACACATGCAGGCATTGCACTCATACGCATATTAAAAAAGAAAAAATAAATAAATGAAAAAATTTTTTAAGTGAGTTGGTGTGGGTCAGTGGTAGAAAACAGAGTGTTGGCTGCCCTCTCCCTCTGAAAACTGTGCTTGACTGCATACATTGAGCCCTGGGTTTGATCCTCAGCACAAGAGGGTGGGCACGGGGGGAGATCCAATGTATTATTCATTTGCAGAGTTCTTGCAGGGATTTTAAGTGATATGCCCCTACGAATATGCCAAGTGAAGCCCCCAGGCTTTGCTAAAACACCAGTAGTTAGCATGGACTGAGCACATAGTGTTTGCTGTTCCTGTTGCAAGAGCCATCAACCCCTCATCTCTTTCCCTGTGTATGGAGTCTGAAAATATTGTATTTTTTTTTCTACTATTCTGTTTTTCAGATTATTTTTTCAGTAATTCAGATAAGGTTTATTTTTCTTTTTAGATTTTACAGCATTGAAATAGAGCAACTTAGTAGCCCATCGTCACTGTGGGGCCTATCCCCCACTCTGTGAAACCAGGGCTTGCCCTGGGGCCTCCACACCTGGTATTCTCCCTGTGGGGTGAAGACAGCACACTCATCATGGGGTATGGTTTGTGGTTTTTCCTCCAGGATCATCCATGAAGATGGCTTCTCTGGAGAAGATGTGAAGCAGTACAAGCCTGTTGTCTACAGCAACACCATCCAGTCTCTGGCAGCCATTGTCCGGGCCATGGATACTTTGGGTGTCGAGTACGGTGACAAGGAGAGAAAGGTAGGCAGGTCCCTGAGCCTGTGGGCACAAAGAGGAGAGATCTTTGACCCCACTACCTCCTCTCAATAAAGCCTGATGGGACCAGAAGAGGTTGTGCTCTGTAAGAGAGTAGGTAGCAGTCACCAGCCTAAGCCATCATACCAGTCCCTGGCAAATGCGGGGGTTTCCGTGACAGGCAGAGCTCCCCAGCAAGTCAAGAAAACAAGTTACAGTATTCCCTGGTATGTTCCATAGATGAGAAAGTGTGGGAGAATGTTTCTACATCGAGGCGGTATAACCCTGAGTGAGTTCCAGGGTCCCCCCCCCCCCACCCCTGCAACGAACCACCGGAAAAAATACAGAACAAAGCCCACCTCCCTAAGAGCCATCTTCCCTTCTGAGAACGGTCCTTATCTTGTTGGAGTGAGGGCAGCCACTGGACTTGGCTCTCTCTTGCTCTTTACACCAAGAGATATGCTTTCTGCATCTCCTGGTAGGTGTGAGGCCTTCCTGAGTCAGCATCCCTGAAACAGGGACTGTTTTCAATTGAGTTTCCAGGTGTCTGATGAGTAGTGAATGAAATAAGTGTATAAAAGCCTCTTATTTGCAAACTTTTGCATTCACTGCAAGGCTAAACTATAAACAGCTACACTAGCAAAGCAAGTGAAAGGGAGGGAGGGTGAGAAGGAGGTGAGAAAGCAACCTGAGAATTCTAACCAAAAGCAGCACTTGGGCCCCTTCCAGGGGAGTAGCTAGAGGCCTCAGAGCAGCTGGCCTGCATTGGAGCCTCTGTGTAGGGAGGTGAGCCTCTGATGACTTGAATGTTTTAAATACACATATCTCTGCTGAAAACCATTTCCTCGTAGAGGAATGTGATCCTGGCCTTCTCAAAGTCTGACAAATTATCTGTGACAGATAGCTTTATGTGTAAGATTTAATATATTATGCACAAAACCCTAATTCCATGGGGTAGAGTCACCCCAGCTCAGTTATTAGCACTTCCAGGGCCTGGAGAATTGGGTGACTGACAGAGTGTCTGAGCCAGCCTAGGATGGAGAGCAGAGCCCTGGTGAGCCCCACTCACCTGCTGCTCCCCAGAGGAAGGCAGAAAAGATGGTCTCTTGGTATAGGTTTTTTACACAAGAGACCAACTTTGACGCTGGGCGCGGTGCTCTCCCCTTTAATCCCAGCCCTGGGGAGGCAAAGGCAGGTGGATCTCTGTGAGATCAGTCTGGTCCACATAGTGAGTTTCAGTCCGGCTAGGACTAGGGAGACCCTGTCAAAAACAAACAAATTGAAAACCCAAACAAAACAAATAAGCAAATAAGAAGAGACCAATTTTGGCTTTGGTCATGGAGCGGGGGGAGGAGAACACAGTGCCTCTCTTCGAAACAAATTGAAAACCCAAACAAAACAAATAAGCAAATAAGAAGAGACCAACTTTGGCTTTGGTCATGGAGCGGGGGGAGGAGAACACAGTGCCTCTCTTCATCCTTCAGTCTTGTCCAGTAAGTTTTCCCTGTGCTCTTCCAGGATCCAGGCACTGTGCTGGGGCACAGGAGTGGGTACAGCAGGGATAGTGTCCAAAGGAAGCTTATGTCAAAAAATACCTGCTTGGGTCATGGGACTAACCCGTGCACAGTGGTTTCGATGAGGGTACTGCTTCACTCATCCTCACAGAGGTAGACCGGTGGGAACGAACGTGGCTGTCATCTACAGAGCACCTGCTCCCTGCCAGAACTGTCCCTTAAAACATAGTAGGTGTTCAGAAAACATCCCTTGAGTAGAATGATGCCCATGCTCCCCAAGTTGTCAAAGAAAGGTAGTGCCTGGAATTTTGTCCCTAAGTAGCCAGATGTTGACTTCCCTGCCAGAACTGTCCCTTAAAACATAGTAGGTGTTCAGAAAACATCCCTTAAGTAGAATGATGCCCATGCTCCCCAAGTTGTCAAAGGTAGTGCCTGGAATTTTGTCCCTAAGTAGCCAGATGTTGACTCCTCAGTACTTGTGTGTGTAGGTTTGTGTGAAGTGCTGCAGAGGTTCAAAGGCATGTTGGTGCAGCTTTGAGGAGTTGGTCATCATGGGAAGATGGGACTCACAGACTGCTTGACCATGGCTTTTTGGTTCCCAGTGGCGAACGCTGGGTAGGTTTCAAAGATAGAGGGACCAGATTGAGGCCTTTACCCGGTGTTTCCATGTTCCTAGCACTGTCTAAGAAAGAATTCAGAGACAGAGCTGCACCAATTAAGGACCTGGGAAAACATTTATTACAGGGCAGAGGTATACATTCAAGGCGTGAGTGCAAGCTTCTCGAGAGACCTTGCTGGAGGATCTCGGATAGCTCACCTTAGGGGAAAAACTTAATGAAGAGAAGTTACATGGTGGGGGTGGAGGCAGAGAATTACAGGAATGGGATAGAATTTTCTTCTCCAGTTAAGTTTCTCCTCTTTTCTGTCCCTGTATGGGGCTTTGTCAGCTAGCTACATCATGAAAACTGGTCATTTTAAGGCTATTGATAGAGAGATGCTGTTATAAGGAGACAGAGAACAGTTAGTGGTCATCTTCGTCAGCCACACTGGTGCCAGTGATTCGGGATGATCTTATGCTTTACCTTTGAGAGTCACATGGTTATACATTTACCTTCCAGGGTCACACTGTGACTTACTGTAATGCAGCTTGGTCTCTGGCCACCTTATACTTTGCCTCTTTTTTCCCCTATGTTATCTAGGTGATCTCATTTCCTTGAGGTGGTCAGAGGAGGCTCCTTAGAGGAAGGGAGACTACAGTTATTGATGTCTAGATATGATTTCACGGGTGCAGGTGGGGCTGGGAAAAGGCGGCTGAAGCAGTCCACCAGACCTAAATACAGGCAATGGCTGGTAATAACTAAAGGAGATTTGGCTGGCAGAGGAGGAATGGGATTAGTGTGGGTAAAGATAAACAAGTTGGAAGTACAGGTAGGTCCAAATTTGGCAGATCTTGGAACGTAGCCAGCAAGTTTGGTTTTTATCCTGCCGGCAAAAAGCAGCCATTGATAGACTGTGCTGGAAAGAGATGGGATTAAAGTGAGGTTTTGGACACTTCTGGTGGCAGGCATAGAGTGACCGCATCATGGTGAGGCTAAAGGTGGGGAACAGTCAGGAAGCTGTGGCTATAGACTACAGAATATACATGAGGTGTGGGTCGGGGTCAGGGGTGTGGGGTCTGGGTGAAGGATGGGAAAAGAAAGGCAGCACAGGGAGTTACAGTGACAAGAGGAATTAATGGACTTGGTGATGCATTGGCAATTGGGAGAAACAAGGACCATGAAACTGAACACTGGTGTGACCAGCTTGGAGCAGTAGCTCAGCCAGGAGCCTGAGGCAAAGAGAGAAAGGCTCTCTGTCTAGTGAGTCTGTTTTCAGACCCAAGGTGTGTGTGGGGGGTGATCAGCAAGTAGATGGAGGGAGTTTGATAATAGAAGCTCCAGCCAGGATTAATGGCTCCAGGATAGCAGAAGCTTTAACTGTGTTTTAGGAACTATTTTAAATAATGTATGGTATTATTAAAGAGTTTTGTTTAATCCTAACAACTACCTGTATAGTGGTTGATACTACTATCTCCATTTTGTAAGAGAAAAGAATGAGGCACAGAACAGTAGAGTGACAGACCCAAGGTCGTACAATACAAAGTGCATATGTATACAGTGTAGATATGCATGACTAACAAAACAACAGTCCGCAGCAGAGGCCCTCTGAAACAGGCTCAGGACAACCAGGCAAAAGAGTTCCTAAACCAGGGATGGTGCACATCTTTAATCCCAGCGCTTTGGACACTGAAGCAGGACCATGGTAATTTGAGGATCCCAGGGCTACATAGCAAGAGCCTATCCAGAATATTTTTTAAAAATCATTAAAAAAAATATGAAAAGGGACCCAAAGGTAGCACCCACTGCTCTCCTCCTGTTTCCTGCCTTCATCTGTGCCAGCCCCACTGCCTTGAACTGTCCCCTTTCCCCAATTGTCCAGAGATCCTCTCTTCCATTCCTCTACCACCAGCCTCCAGGCAGAGCTGTTGCCCTTTCTTTCCTTCTGTATCTCCCACCATTGCCCCTACCTCACCTGTTTCTTTCCACCCTCTCTGTCTGCCTGAAAGGGGCTCCTCTCTGCCATCTTCCTCTTGCTGTTTCTTCTTCACTTTCTCTGTGCCCCTTCATCCCCATCCCTCTCCCATTTTCCTCCTCACTTTCCCTCCCTCCTCCATCATTCCTGTGCAGATGACCTTCCCCTTCCCAGCTGAAGCTTCCCAACTCCCTTTCCTCTACCCTCAGGCCTGGGCCTGCTCCTGTTAAACAAACAAAGGGACTTGTCTGGTGACCTGAACTAACTGGGGGGGAAAGGACTAAGGAGATAATGGCGGGTTTGAAGGTTCACTTTGACAAATGCAGGGAAGGGAGGAGGGTAAGAGTAAAGTCTTTGAATGATCCATGTTCGTAAATTGTATCACACCTGTGTATGTAAACAGATTTAAATTTTTTGTGCCTTTGTGTATGTAAAATGTAAACTAATGGAACAGTAGGCAACAGAAGCTGAGCACTTTGAGTGGAAGGACAATAGCCGAGCCACAGAGGTAAAGTCTTCTGTTTTCTGTCCTTACCCCACCCCTCCAGCTAATCATAGAAACCAGAGTACCCCTTCCCCGAGGCAGGTCATAAAATCTTCTCTTTCTGGGTGTTAGAAATAAAGTCTGAGATCCAAGGACCCCATTAATACCACATAAAGAACACTCAAACAAAGTGAAAGTAACAAGGCAGATTTTACTTTTGCAAAAGGTTGTATTGCCTGGGTTGTATTGCCTGGTCAGTCAGATCCAGCAAGCATACAGGAGCTGGAAGTTTGGTAGGCTTTTATCTCTAACACAAGAATACTCTCTTTTCCCCATTGACTGGGGTCTGACTTCAGTCTTCCTGTTGGCTAGGTGGCTAGTTTAAAAGAATCTGTGCAAAGGGAGCACTCCTCTGCCCCAGGCCATCAGGTTTAGGA